CTAAAGGAGCACACAAGACGATAAGGTCATTGCGAAGAAACTAAATGAATTCCGTGCTTCAGTCTTTATGGCTGATGATGTTAGGAAAATTCACAAAACTGAGCCATTCTTTTTAGGTGACAAATCTGAGGAATTGTCCCAGAGAGAGCTGTCATTAAAGGAAGTTTTGGAACCAAACTGATGAGCTTAACAGTAACAAGTCACCAGGACCATATGGCATTCACCCAAGAGTTCTGAAAGAACTCAAATATGAAACTGTGGAACTATTAACTGTGGTTTCTAACCTATCTTTTAAATCAGCTTCTGTACCCAAGGACTGGAAGATAGCTAACGTGATGCCAATATTTAAAAAGGGCTCTAGAGGTGATCCTGGCAATTACAGACCGGTAAGTCTAATGTCAGTACTATGCAAATTACTTGAAACCATAATAAAGAACAAAATTGTCAGACACATAGATGAACATAATTTGTTGGGGGAAAAGTCAACATGGTTCTGGTAAAGGGAAATCATGCTTATTAATCTATTAGAGTTCTTTGAGAGGGTGTTGCGGGCTAGTTCCTTTGCCCCTCATCCATGGGGCACTGTTGAGCCCCTGGGCCTCGTGGCACCACACCCCACGTCTTCTGCAACCCCAGACTCCCTCTTTCCCATGGCAATGTGACCTAACGGCCAGAGTCTCTAGCACTACCCCTTCAACACGGCAGTCAGGCCCAGCAGCTGGAGTCTCTAGCAATACCCTTTCCACCAGTGCAGTGTGGCCTACCGGCCCGAGTCTTTAACAATGCCTTTTTCAACGGGGCAACGTGTCCTACTGGCCAAATTAGAAGTCAAGGTGCAGCATTCCCTTGGGGAATAAGGAGGTGGGGTAGGGGGACCTGGGCCCTCCCTCTCCACCCGGTCCCAGCCCAGGGCCCTGTCAATGGTGGACACGTCCTACCACTAGATCATCAGGGAGTCTGCCCGAAACATGCTAAACTTCTTAGGGATCCAGTTCCCTGCCTTGGACTACCTCCTACCCTGTCAGGATTGCTAGCATCTTCCCCACCTGTGTCCTCAGAGCCAGGCCCTTCTGTGTCCAATCTCTGCTGGCTGGCTTCTACTGCTGCTCCTCCTCTGGTCTGGAAGCTTCTCTGGCTGTTCCCCACTGGCTGGCCTCCTGATCTGGTCTCCCAAGCGGCTCACCTGCAGGAGCTCGGGCAGTACGCCCTTCCTCCTCAGAAACCAGCCCAGACTGAGGCTCCCTCCAGGCTTTTATACCTGGGCTGTAGTCTGAGCATGCCCAGCAGGGCTGCAGGGACAGGGCTTCTTCAGTCAGGTGAGCCTGATTAGGCTCAGCTTTCACAGTGCAAGACAGATACAGCATGTCACAGGGGGTAAACAAACGAGGACAAGGGGGATCCAACAGATATAGCATATTTAGATTTCCAGAAAGCCTTTGACAAGGTCCCACACCAAAGGCTTTTAAGTAAAGTAAGGTGTTATGGGATAAGAGGAAAGGTCCTCTCATGGACTGATAACTGGTTAAAAGACAGGAAACAATGGATAGGAGTAAATGGTTAATTTTCAGAAAGGAAAGAGGTAACTAGTGGTGTTCCCCAAGCATCTATATTGGGACCAATCCTATTCAACCTATTTATATATGATCTGGAGAAAGGGGTAAACAGTGAGGTGGCAAAATTTGCAGATGATATAAAACTGCTCAAGACAGTTAAGACCAAAGCAGACTGTGGAGAGCTTCAAATAGAACTCACCAAACTAAGTGATTGGGCAACAAAATGGCAAATGAAATTTAATGTTGAGAAATGTAAAGTAACGCACATTAGAAAAAAAAATCCCAACTATACATACAATTATGATGGGGACTAATTTAGCTACAACTACTCAAGAGAGAGATCTTGGAATCATTGTGGATAGTTCTCTGAAAACATCCGCTCAGTGTGCAGCAGCAATCAAAAAAGCAAATAATATCAGGAATCATTAGAAAAGGGATAGAGAATAAGACAGAGAACATCTTATTGGCTCTATATAAAACCATGGTACGCCCGCATCTTGAATACTGAGTACATATGTGGTCAGCTCATCTAAAAAAAGATATACTGGGATTGGAAAAAGTTCAATAAAGGGCAAAAAAATTACTGGGGGTTTGGAACGGGAATCCTGGGTTCCCAGTTTACCTTATAAAAGGTTACGGATTTTGGTTACCGATCATTCTATCCTCATTCACCATGTCTTCTGCCTCTTCCCCTTGTATCTCTTCAACTCTTCTCTGTCCTAAATCTGACAAGTAGTTACCAACTACCCTCCCTGTTCCCATCACCTTCCATAGCTTGTCTTTGCCTCCCCTATTCCTTACTCCTCTGCAATCCAGTGAGGCGGCTTCCTTCTTTGCCTTCATGCAGCCTGACATCAATATAAAGAGCCCCAGGAGCCCCAGAAAGGCAGTCTCTATGCTGTCGGTTTCTAGAGCTGCAGCAGCTTGGAGGAACACATGAAGGGAAAATTCTGCTCAGCCCATGCAGTCCTCGGATGGAGCACAAATATTACAGAAAGAAAGTTTGGGTAAGTCAGCTGCTAAACTCCATGAGGCCTTTACTGAGCACATGGCCAAAAGCGCACTCCTGAAGCCAGGTCAACTTTCCTGCTAAATTTCTTCTTCAAAACATAGAAGCACTTAACTGTATCAATAAAAGAGGTATATGAAGTTTTTAACATGATCAAAACAATCATGTTCTGAGAAGTGATAGACCCATTTTAGCTGAAATCTTAAATATATACATAAATAAATGGTCTGAGGGAGACATCCAACATGGAAAATTGCAGTCCAAGGCTGTGTCTAGACTACATGGCTCCGTCGATGGAGCCATGTAGATTAGGATTATAGGCAAAGGCAAATGAAGCCGCGATTTAAATGATCGCGGCTTCATTTACATTTACATGGCTGCCGCACTGAGCCGACAAACAGCTGATCAGCTGTTTGTCGGCTCAGTGCGGCAGCCATGTAAATGTAAATGAAGCCGCGATCATTTAAATCGCGGCTTCATTTGCCTTTGCCTATAATCCTAATCTACATGGCTCCATCGACGGAGCCATGTAGTCTAGACACAGCCTTGGACTGCAATTTTCCATGTTGGATGTCTCCCTCAGACCATTTATTTATGTATATATTTAAGATTTCAGCTAAAATGGGTCTATCACTTCTCAGAACATGATTGTTTTGATCATGTTAAAAACTTCATATACCTCTTTTATTGATACAGTTAAGTGCTTCTATGTTTTGAAGAAGAAATTTAGCAGGAAAGTTGACCTGGCTTCAGGAGTGCGCTTTTGGCCATGTGCTCACTACATGGCTCCGTCGACGGAGCCATGTAGTTTAGACGTACCCCAAATGATTGAAGTTTGACAACAGTTGTAAGCAACTGAAAACCAGATCTTATACAGCTTGGACCTTTCTGGTTCAGCACCCTCGGGATCTGACCATTCCCGAACTAGGGAGTTTGCTGGACATGGGGAGGTCAATGCTGGCCCCTCTGCTCCCAGCCTCTAGGCCAGTGGTATCCAATCTTTTTACACAAAAGATCACATTTTGAATTTAAGTGGAATCCAAGATCTCTCTCAAACCCAAATAACCTTGCCCCGCCTCCTTTGTGCTGCTCTGCCCTGCCTCTCTCTGTGGCCCCGCCCCTCCTCACTCCATTCTCCTCCCTCCCAACAGGGGGGGGCAGCGGGTTGGGGTGCAGGCTCTGATCTTGGATTAAGAGATTTGGAATGTGAAGGGCTCTGAGCTGAGGTTGGGGCAGGCAGCTGGGGTGCTGGAAAGGGTTCTAGGTGTAGGCTCTGGGAAGGTGTTTGGATGCATGGGGGCTCAGGGCTAGGGTGGGTTTTGGGATACAAGATGGGGGTTCATGACTTTGGTAGAGGTTCAGGACGTGGACTCCAGCTCGGCACTGCTTAGCTCAGGTGGCTCCTGGGTGATGGTGCAGTGAGGCTAAGGCAGGCACGCCCCTGCCCTGGCCCAGAACCACTCCCAAAAACAACTAACAAACTTGCTTTACACCTAGTCCTGTTATGCCCCCTCTCTGCTCTGTGGAAATAAGATACAGGGTGGGAGAAGGGGGCACTTTGACATCAGCACCCATTCTCTCCCTTCCCTGCGCTGCACAGCAAACAGGAGGCTCCTGGGGGAACAAGCTCCAAGGCAAAGGGCCAGAGATGCGCAGCAGTGGGAGGAGGAGCAGTTGAAGTGCTGACACTTGATAGCCACGTGGCCAAACCAGGCAGGATCACCTGTCAGAGGCTCCAAGATCTACCAGTAGATTCCGATCTACTGGTTGGTAACCACTGCTCTAGGCTCTCCCCTATCCGTTGGGATCCTCTCCTGGCCGCTGGCCCCATTACCGCTGACATGTCTCTCAGGGCCTAGCCCCTCTACCAGCCCAGATAGGCTCCCAGCCCCATTAGGCTGCTGGCCAAAATGCTGCTGGCCCTCCTGCCCTTGTAATCCCAGTCGCTGAAGCTCTTTTGTCCAGGAACATCTGAGAGTTCCAGTTTAGAGAGGTCCAATCTGTAAGAAACAGTGGTAGGTAATCTTAATTACATGTGCTGCTACCACCTCTGCATAAAATTATGAGCACACTTCGTAAATTTTATTTATTTTAAACTATCATCCCAATACTGTGTTTATTGGAAATAATTCCCTTTCAGAGGGAAATACCAAACTAAACATCTCAACAAGCCCAGAAAGTCACCTTGCATATGCACCAATGTCAGGGTATTGTCATTGTACTGACTCAGCAATACCTGCACTCACAAACTTCCAACTGCAGTCAAGAATTTGGAAGACAGAGTAATCACTACACTGCTAAAATACCAATAATTTAGACAACTATAAAACTCCAGTGGAAAAATTAAAATCTGCCAATCAACATGGAATCCTTTAATCGCAAAGTCCATTTTCATTAGATGAATGTTAACTTTTCCAATGCAGATAAAATAGACTGACCTGATAATGAGGTTTATACCATTGTTTCAAGTCCCAGTCCCAAAGAATCATCTGTGAAAGAGACAAAATAAATAATTAATTATATGCTAGCAGTCAAAAAGTGCATATTAATTAAATACATCTTGATCAATTCATGCTATTTACAATCATTCCCTCCAAATTTTGGTGGGTGGGAAAGGCTTATTTTCAGCTGATCATTTCACTGTCTCAACTGCTGACATTAAAACACAAGTTATGATATGGTATGAGAACCACATATAGGAATAACTATCAGAGTAAAAGATTTATATTTTAAGAACAATATGTTTTTATTGATAAAGTAACTACATGCTCTTTTATTAATTATGCTAGACTGGAAACAATAAAAAAAATCTTCCATCATACAGGTCACAAGCAGTAGGTGTTGATGTTGCTTTTTTATTTTTAATTATCTAGTTATAAAGGGACACAAAATGACACCTATGCTAAGCTCTAAGCACTCTTGGAAATAATTTATAAGCATAGTTAAACATGGATTACACAGTGGCACCATATACATTTACAGAGAAAGGAAACAAATTAGAAAAAACAATTCACAAAGCCCACAAAAGAAAAATCTGGTGGTGAGCAAATATTGACTATTTCAGAGATCTGCCTCCAACACCCGGGCAATAACGGGGCCGGCAGAAGCCATGTAGCTCTGACTCCGCAGCAGCCAGAAACCTCCAGCCCCAGCGATTTAGTATGGGCCAGGAGGAGAGGGACCTCTAATGGTCTGGCAAATCCCCTCGTTCAGAACTGATCAGGTCCCAAGGGTGCCAGAACAGTCCAACCTGTACTGAATGTCAGCAAATTTTGCTTCATCTATACTTTTTGCCTCTTCTCAAACACTAACGAAAATATTCAATAGGGGTTATGAATATGCTCACTGATATTTCAGTAGTAAACATTATACTTGGTAGCATCTCTATAGGTAAGTTTCCTTATGACAGAAACATAAAAATAGCAGTGGTATCCATGTCTTCCACATGTGTGCATCATAGTAAACTGTCATTTAGCACTACATTTTGCTGAGGTATTCCAACACGTGAACATTCCATATGACAATGTCCTTATCCAAGTCAATTTGAATTTATATCTAGTATGACACAATTGACAATATTTTATTAAAATTCTACTGTGTTGTATCTACTATTTTCCCTTCATTGAGAAATAGTACAATTCTACCAAAAAAACCTGAAGAAATATTCTGTGTAATTAGCTACCCAAAATTACAATAGCTAAAGGGTCATGTATATGCATGTACAAAACAGACAGCTTTATATCTGACTTCCTTGTCCCTGCTTCCATTACCTAGGAGTATGACAGCTATACTTCTTATTCGTTAAATGAGAAACAGATAAATGATTTTTTTTAAAGGGAGTCTGAAAACAAAGTAGGGAGATGAGTCATGGGCTAGATCCTTAGCTGGTGTAAACTGTCATAGCTTCATTGATTTCAAAATAGCTGTGACACTTAACACCTGCTGAAAATCTGAACATAAGAACATAAGAACGGCCGTACTGGGTCAGACCAAAGGTCCATCTAGCCCAGTATCCTGTCTACCGACAGTGGCCAACACCAGGTACCCCAGAGAGGGTTGACCGAAGACAATGATCAAGCGATTTGTCTCCTGCCATCCCTCTCCAGCCTCTGACAAACAGAGGCCAAGGACACCATTTTATCCCCTGGCTAATAGCCTTTTATGGACCTAACCTCCATGAATTTATCCAGCTTCTCTTTAAACTCTATTATAGTCCTAGCCTTCACAGCCTCCTCTGGCAAGGAGTTCCACAGGTTGAAAACACGCTGTGTGAAGAAGAACTTCCTTTTATTAGTTTTCAACCTGCTACCCATTAATTTCATTTGGTGTCCTCTAGTTCTTCTATTATGGGAACTAATAAATAACTTTTCTTTATCAGCCCTCTCCACACCACTCATGATTTTATAGACCTCTATCATATCCCCCCTCAGTATCCTCTTTTCTAAACTGAAAAGTCCCAGTCTCTTTAGCCTCTCCTCATATGGGACCCGTTCCAAACCCCTAATCATTTTAGTTGCCCTTTTCTGAACCCTTTCCAAGGCCAAAATATCTTTTTTGAGGTGAGGAGACCACATCTGTACACAGTATTCAAGATGTGGGCATACCATAGTTTTATACAGGGGCAGTAAGATATTCTGGGTCTTATTTTCTATCCCTTTCCTAATAATTCCTAGCATCCTATTTGCCTTTTTGACCACCGCTGCACACTGCGTGGAAGTTGTCAGAGAACTGTCCACGATAACTCCAAGATCTCTTTCCTGATTTGTCGTAGCCAAATTAGCCCCCATCATACTGTACGTATAGTTGGGGTTATTTTTCCCGATGTGCATTACTTTACACTTATCCACATTAAATTTCATTTGCCATTTTGTTGCCCAATCACTCAGTTTGGTGAGATCTTCTTGGAGTCCCTCACAGTCTGCTTCTGTCTTGACTATCCTAAACAGTTTGGTATCATCTGCAAACTTTACTACCTCACTGCTTACCCCTTTCTCCAGATCATTTATGAATAAGTTGAAAAGGATTGGTCCCAGGACTGACCCTTGGGGTACACCACTAGTTACCCCTCTCCAATCTGAAAATTTACCATTTATTCCTACCCTTTGTTTCCTGTCTTTTAACCAGTTCTCAATCCAAGAAAGGACCTTCCCTCTTATCCCATGGCCATGTAATTTACACAAGAGCCTTTGGTGAGGGACCTTGTCAAAGGCTTTCTGAAAATCCAAGTATACTATATCTACTGGATCCCCCTTGTCCGCATGTTTGTTAACCCCTTCAAAGAACTCTAATAGATTAGTAAGACAGGATTTCCCTTTACAGAAACCATGTTGACTTTTGTCCAACAAATTATGTTCTTCTACATGCTTCACAATTTTATTCTTTACTATTGTTTCGACTAATTTGCCCGGTACTGAAGTTAGACTTACCGGTCTGTAATTGCCAGGATCGCCTCTAGAGCCCCTTTTAAATATTGGTGTCACGTTGGCTACCTTCCAGTCATTAGGTACAGAAGCTGATTTAAAGGATAGGTTACAAACCACAGATAATAGCTCAGCAATTTCCCATTTAAGTTCTTTTAGAACCCTTGGATGAATGCCATCCGGTCCCAGAGATTTGTTAACATTAAGTTTTTCTATTTGTTCCAAAACCTCCTCTAATGACACTTCAATCCGGGACAGTTCCTCAGATTCATCACCCACAAAGGACGGTGCAGATTCAGGAATCTCCCCAACATCCTCAGCCGTGAAGACTGAAGCAAAGAAATCATTTAGTTTCTCCGCAATGCCTTTATCGTCCTTGATTGCTCCTTTTATAGCTCGATCATCTAGGGGACCCACAGGTGTTTTAGCAGGCTT